AACATAATTACAAATATTTCTAAGAGAAGATCGAGTTGTTACCCTTTTGGATGGATCACCTATAATCTCAACATCCTTGACATAGTTGTACTCTCTTGGATAAGATACGTCCCTTTCTCCAATGGTTGGATTCTCGAGAGGATCATAAGTTTCCTCATCTTTCGTTTCTTCCTTTGATGATGATTCTCCAACGTCATGTCTAACGTCATTTGTATTTATAATACCTACATCATCATTAAAACAAGAATCCTTCCTCGGAAGGAGATTATCATCGAAAACAACATGTATAGACTCTTCTACAACTAAAGTTGTTTTATTAAATACTCGATAAGCTTTAGAATTTAAGGAATAATCCAGAAAATTACTTCATCACTTTTAGCATCAAATTTGCCAATGTTTTCTTTACCGTTGTTTAAAACAAAACATTTACATCCAAAATGATGAAAATAACTAATGATAGGCTTTTTATTTTTGAAAATTTCATGTGGAGTGTTCTTTAAAATTGGCCTAATCATTACTCGATTTACAACATAACAAGCGGTATTTGTGGTTTCCGCCCAAAAATATTTTGGCAAATTATTTTCACAAAGCATGGTTCTAGCCATTTCTTCTAAAGTTTGATTTTTTTCTCTCAACAACTCCATTTTGTTGAGGGGTTCTAGGTGCTGAAAAATTATGACTAATACCATTAAAACTACAAAACTCATTAAATCCAAGATTTTCAAATTCAGTGCCATGATCACCTCTAACACTAGTGATAGAGTAACCTTTTTCGTTTTGGATTACTTTTGAAAATGTGATGAAATTTTCTAATGCTTCATCTTTAGTACTTAAGAATAGAACCCAAGTATATCTAGAATAGCCATCTACCAAGACAAATGCATATTGTTTTCCACCCAAGCTAGTAGTTCTAGTTGGCCCAAAAAGATCTATATGGATAAATTGTAATACTTTACTATTTGACACATCATTAATGGATTTAAAAGAAACTCGCTTTTGTTTTCCTTTAGCACAAGCATCACATATTTTATCATTATCAAATTTTAGTTTAGGCAGCCCTCGAACCAATTCTCCTTGAACTAACCGTTGCAAAACACTCATGCTAGCATGTCCTATTCTCCTATGCCATAACCAACTATCATGCTCATCCTTAGCAACTAGGCACAAATTAGTCATATTAATAGAATTTAAATGCACCATGTATATGTTTCATATTCTATGACCAACAAGCATAACCCGATTAGATGCAATGTCAATGACTTTACAACCATTAATTTCAAACATGACATTGAATCCCTTATCGCATAATTGACTAATACTCAATAGATTATGTTTTAATCCATTCACATATAACACATTTTTAATTTGTATGGAATATGTATTACCTATAGTACCAATACCTTCAATGTGACCTTTTGAATTATCACCAAAAGTCACTTCTCCTCTATTTTTGGCGTTAAGCTCTATGAACCGGCTTTTGTCTCCGGTCATGTGTCTCGAGCATCCACTATCAAGGTACCATGAATTTGGATTTGTTTCTCATGCCTTGTAGCAATTCTCCTTTTCCTACAAACATAGATTAATTTCTAATTTTTGGTACCCAAATTCTTTTGGGTCCATATTCATTAGTTTCTAAAATCCTTGTCCCCTTTGGTATCCATTTATGAAGGACATCCTTATCTTTAGTAGTAATTAATTCTTTAGGAACCCATATACTCATAACAATTTTACCATTCAAGGTTCGTTGAGGACTTCTATGATTGTAGCTTCTAAAACTTTTCTTAACAAAGTTGTATTTTGAATTCTCACATTTTTCAAAACTTTTTGTTCCAACATTATTAAAAGAAGTTTTAAGATCATCAATCTTCTTTTGATGATCATCATGAACTTTTGAAAGTAAGTTATGCAAATCAGTATTTTTCTTTTCAAAATCATAAATTTTGATTTGCAATTCTTTGATCTTACTTTCAAGCTCATTGTTGGTCTTGGATATAAGACTATTTTCGTTTTTCAATTTTGAAAAATCATTTTTGTATTTTGAAAATAGAGTCTTGTAATCCGAAGCCAACCCATTATAATCCTCTAATAACTCATCATAAGATAATTCATCCAAATCGAATGAGTTCGAGGTTACCTTAGAATCTCCCCCGATAGCCATCAAGCACAAGTTTGCAACTTCTTGTTCCGCTTCATTGGAACCTTCTTCATCGCTTCATGTAGCTACATGAGCCTTGTGCTTATTTTTGGATTGACTCTTTTTCTTCAATTGTGGGCAATCATATTTGACATTCCCCCGCTTTTTGCATTCATAGCAAATGATCGGGTCTTTCTCATTCGATTTAGTTTTGAAGCCTTCATGACGTTTGAATTTTCTTCCTCAGTTGGGCATCATCATCTTTCTGAATCGTTTGGAAAATAATGTCATTTCCTCGTCATCATCATCGTCATTCGAATCACTCTCATCTTTTGTGGATTTGAGAGCAACTCAAATGTTTTTCTTCTTCTCCTTCTCCTTTGGTGTCTCGTCAATCTTATTGAAGTCCACTTCATATGCAAACATCATTTCATGAGTGAGAAGGGAACCGATTAGTTCTTCAAGAGTTAAGAACGTTAGGTCTTTAGACTCTATGATTGTCGTCTTCTTTTATTGCCACGATTTTGGAAGGGAGTAGACTAACTTCCTCACAAGCTTTTCATTTGAAATGATCTCTCCATATGATTTGAGACCATTGACAATCGTTGAAAATCTATTCGTCATAGCTTTGATATCTTCATTTTGGTTTCATCCTGAAATTTTCATAGCTATGCGTTAGAATACTAATTTTATATTTCTTTACCTCATTGGTACCTTCATGAGTGACTTGAAGTTTGTCCCATATTTCTTTGGCGGTTGTACAAGATGAAACTCTTCCGTATTCATCTGGTCCAAGAGCACAAAATATGATATGGATGACTTTGGAGTTGAGCTGGAACATTCTTAATTCTCATTCACTCCACAATCTTGGATGAGTGAGAGGCTTGATGTATCATTCTTCTACTGCATTCCATGCTCCCATGTCACTTGCTTGAATGAAGTACATCATCCTATTTTTCCAATAGGCATAGTTAGCCCCATTGAAGAAATGAGGCTTGTTGACGAGCATCGAATCGAGACCGGAGTCGAAGTTTGAAGTAGAGGCCATTGATGACTTTGATTATCGATGTAACTCTTCCCGAATCGACTCAAGAGGCGATTAAATCTTAAAATGAGTTAGGCTCTGATACCAATTATTGAGTTAATCGATTGACGGAATCGGCCAAGAGGGGGTGAATTGGCAATTTAAATTTTGTGGAAGCTTTTGCAGAAAATTAAAAGTAATTACACAGCGATTTAGAGTGGTTCAAATTTCTCAATCAAAGTCTACGTCCACTACCTTAGCTATCCACACTAAGGATTTTCCAACAAATTCACTAATTTATTCTTTCTTTTGAGGCCAAAGAGATAACCTTACAACACCCTCAAGAATATACCCCAATTCTTGAGAACATTCTTTCCCAAAGAGAAGATTACAAAATTTGCAAACTTACAAGGAAATCCTCACAAGGTAGATTGTTTGCACAATTCTAGAACAAAGAAAAGAACACTCAAGAATGAATACAATTGAGTACAAATATTGTTCTTGAAAGCAAAATGAATATTGAATGAAAAATAGGCTTGAAATGCACAAACTTGCGGTTTGATGCTTTCTCTTTGATTATCTCTTGATTCTAGTTGCTTGTTGTTTTTGTTCTTGATCAATGGCTTATAAGCTTGTTTAAATACACCTTAAATCACTTCTGAACATTGGGGATGATTAGTGGAGTCAATAGTCGTTTAAGTGTGAAAACAATTAATTAAAGCAGTTGGGAGCGTCAGTGCATCGATGCATACCCATGGTGCATCGGTGTAAAATTCAAATAATTTGACCATTGGACCCTTAGTGCATCGGTGCACTAAGAGTGCAACGATGCATCAAGTGCATTCGATGTTTCAAAATAGCCAGAGTGCATCGATGCATGGCTGGTGCATCGATGCATCAAATGCATTCGATGTTTTCATAAAATCCTCAATGCATCGGTGCATGGTAAGTGCATCGATGCATGAAATGCATTCGATGTTCAATTTAATTCATGGTGCATCGATGCATGAATTGGTGCATCAGTGCATTACTCTGAAAAATTGATTTTAGGCTTGATTTTGGTTAAAAATACTTTGTGAAAATTGTTTTAAAAATATATTAAGTATAAAACACAATTTTACACATTTAGTAAGGTTTGAAATTGATTTTAAAAGACTTGGAGTAATAATTTGATATTCGATTAATTGAATCGAATATACTTAAAAAATCATTTGTAAAATCTTAAAATTCATTTAAACTAATTTGTTATATCGAAACACAAAAATGTTTTCAACAGATACCATATTGCAAACAAACTAAATATTTAGTGACTGTATTGTATGTTTTAAAAGTTGAGGACCTAAATCAAACATTTAAAAAATTTAGTGACCATTTGTATACTTTACCCTTAAATTAATTAGACTCAGAGAATATAATAGATTAATTGATAACAGCGAGAGAAATCCGATTCAGATCCGGAAAAGAGACGCCTCACACGAACACAATACGTTCCTTGATCGTGCAAGTTAGTTATGAAATAGTATTATGCTTTACCCATAAATATTTTTATTAATTAATTAATTTAAATCAAATTTTATAAGATTCAATTATAAATTATTCATAGTATCAATAATTAAAAAATCTAATAGGGTTTAAAAACCTAACGTTTCATAATTAACATATGCTTTGTTAAGACGACCGACGATTTATCATTTCAAACATCTGAGCCAAATTGTATGTTATAACATATTTTAATAAAAAAATTCTAAGACAACCCTCAAAGAGAGGGCAAAAACAATTTACAGATCGGCTATTCCTTGTTTTTTGCTTCCTTTGATATTTTTTACCTTTTTTTTAAATTACGTTCGAACTATTACTCCGCCGACAGAGTTTCCAGCCGCCATAGCTGACCAGTCATATCGGAGTCGTAATACACATCGGAATACTCGAACAATCCATCATAAGCAACATGGTCAACGTTGTAATTATCAACAAATCCAAACTCGAAGGAATCGTAGTTCGGGTTCTGGTCCTCAAACCCCCACAAAGCACCGAATCCAGACGAGTGTGAGTCCACTCTATCCAAATCAGAGGCTTCCGACGTTCCCTCGTCGCCGGTAGTGGAAGACGTTGGAGGAGGCAGACCGAGCTCGTCGTCCGAAGCCTCGAGAAGGTAACCGAGATCCGACTTGGACTCGCCGGAATCTGACGTCAGATCAAAAACCGGCATCGATTCCGTCGAAGTAGACGCGGCAGCGGATATCTCCTCTTCGAAACTCTTCATTACAGAAGCGAGATCTTGATTAACAGGCAAAGAATCTGACTCATCAAGAAGATCCAACAAATCATCTCTGAGTCTCTTCACCTCCGTCGAGTCCATGTCCGACTCGTTGGAGTCGTCTCGACCTCGCTTCTTACTGTTAAACTCATCCATGAAAACGAGCAAACAAAACACCAAACGGCAAAGGCCTTTAGGGTTGACGATTCTTCTAATCGTACAGCAGAGGGATTTTGAAAATAAACAAACGCAAATGAGCAAGTTTGTTGTGGAGAGGAGGGTCGGGGGGACACGAGTTTATATAATGAGACCATATAGAGCGAGAAGGCAGAGAGAGAGTGTGACGATGGAGACGCAGGCGCGTGGGGAAGCAAAATCTTAGCTCATCATGGGGCTCTTTTTTTTTAATTTATTACGGTGTTTTCTAATTAAAAAAAAGTGGGCGTCCCGAGGACAAGTTTCCAATTTGGAGTTTTATAAAAGAGATTTGAAGTCCGAGCTTGAGATCCGTTCAGATGGGACCCACAATCCTAGTCAATCACGGCCCTTTGGGCCTTTTCTTATTGTTGTTGTTTTTCTTTATATAGGTTAGCTTACGTTTGGTTGGCGTGTCTCAGTTGTGAATTTTGTATTTTGGTTGGAAAGGGGGGAAGAGTGTGGATGAGGGTATTTTTGTCAACTTGGTTGAATGCTCTAAGACAAATTATTCGTTTAGAAAAAATCTAGGCTTTTACCATAAATTAAGAAATTTCTAATTAGACGATAATTAAATAAAATATTTTTAAAATTAAATACTTTTAAAAATATAATTAAATACATCTTGCTGGTTTTTTAGAATACCGCATCTATGTCAATCTTGAATTCTTAGCTAATTATATTTGCTTAAAAGGGCAAACTATACGTTCAGCACCATAACATCATTTTTGTTCTATTTTAGTCATCCAATTATTTTTTATTTCAAAATCATGCATAACGTTACGTTTTGGTTTTATTTTAGACACTCACTGTTAAAAAATAAATGGTGATATTGACATATCACCACAAAGTAATGTCATATCATTATTGAAAAAATTCAAAAATGTTATGTCAATAGTTTAGTTACTTTTTTAACGATAAATTATCAAAATAAAATAAAAATATAGCGTTACATATGATTATGAAAAAATAATAATAGTTGAATGACTAAAACGAATGAAAATGATAATTGAGATACTACACGTATAGTTTACCCAAAAATATTAGGTGTTGATCCATCCCCAATCCTCAATTTGATTTTTTTTTTAAATATGAGTGTACAGCTTAAAAGTGAATTGGCTACACCTCAATCCAACCTAATGTACATCACATAAAAAGTAAATATCGATTTTTTTTGTTTATAATAATTAAAAAAATAAATATTTGTTTGTTTGAAATATAGTATATTATTATAAAATATATTATTTTAATAGTATAATAATAATACAGGATTATAGATAGATTTTAAAAAATATATTGTTTTAATTGTTTTAAAGTATTAGGATATTCATATCAGATCGAATTGGAGTCAAAATCTTTCTTTGAAAAATGGGACGAGTTCAGTGCGAGAGAAAAGCCAACAATTATCAAGGTGGGACGAGGACAAATTGAATCAATATATTTTCGAGTCGGAGTTAGGGAAGCAAAAGAACTGCGCCGTCTCGTGCCCATCCCTAAAAATGACTCATGTAATATTCTCTAATAAATACATGATTTAAAAAATAGCAGTATGAGATAATAATAATTTAGGTTTTGCACTAAAAATATTTTAAAATGAATAATTATATGAATAATAATTTTTATAAGAATTTAATTGGAGAAAAAAACTGTAGTTTCTAAGGAGATGAGTTTTGTTTTTTTCAAAATAATTAAACAAAGATTTGGTTTAAGATATTGTATTTACTGAATTTTTTGTACACCCGCAATGTTGGTAAATAAAAGGTTTATGTATCTATTTAGTACTTGTATTAGGTATTTTCTCTAAAGTTGATATCTATAGAAGTTTTTGTTTTAAGTTCGTATTTTGAATTAATTATTTTCTTTCAATTTAATACTTACAGAAGTTTTACTCCTAAGTTTATAATCAAAGTTTTATTTTCATCTAAAAATTTGGTATTTTTACTTTTTTAAAAATATATGCATGACGATATCGTTATGGACACGTGTTATAATTTTATGTCGTCACGTCATTAAAGTTAATATTAGAAATAAAAGTACTCAAATAATGGATGAAATTAAAGTTCATATATCAACTCCCATTTGGGAGAATAAATATAGTTCATGTATTAAGCTAGGAGCAACAAAAATTAAGTGCCAATCTGAAAGAATATACATAATTGAAGTACTAACTCGGGAACAAAAAGCTTTCAGGTACTAATTTAAAGAAATGTGTATATTTCGGATATCAAATGCATATTTAAGTTTAAATTAAAATATAATTATGTAAAGGTTTATTATGAGGGCAAACCTCTTAATTCAATATGTACTATTTATAATGACAAAATTCGAACCTTAAAATTTATTTAAAATGTTTAGTGTTTATCGCGTTAGACTAATTGATTGTTAATAAACTACTCTTTAAAATAAGATGTTTTTGAAAATTTAATAATTTTAACACTAATTTAATTAATCATTTAATAGTAATTATAGATATGATAATAATAATAATAATAATAATAATAATAATAGAGATAATTAAAAGGTATTAATCTTATAATAATAAATATAGACATATAGGAGTAGAATGGCATTAACTCTAATGAACTAAAAATGTCCATTTAAAATAACAATTTATTTATCACATCTCTTTCACAAGCAAACAAATATTGAAATCACAATTAAGGGGTTGTTTGATAAAATAAAATGATTAAGCACTGAATGATTCAATGGACTGAATGATTCAAAGGCTCTGTATAAATTGACTCTGAATGTGACATACTGTTTGATAATGGTTATGAATGTACAATCTGAATTATGAATATTTTCATTTTTACCTTCATAATGATTAATTATATTATAAGATATGATTTTTTTAATAATACAACATGTGAAAAAAATAGGTATTATGGTAAAATACCGGGTGTTTAATGATTCAAAATATACTTTAATGTTAAATCATTCCGCAGTGTTTTGTTATTTCATTCAGCATGATCTTCATTCAAATGTGAGAATCAAGCACGCTGAATGCTGAACGGTTTAACATTCAGCACTGAATGCTTACATTCAGTATTAAACAACGGCCCTATATCTTTCACGTTTCCATGAAACAAACAATCAATGAAAGATTGGTTAAACCTAATAGTCCATTTCAATTAAAATTGAATTCATAACACACACGTGTCGACCACACCAGCAATTTCCTTGCCGCGAGGCACCTCTCCCGTAATCAAGATAAGGAAACAATTGATTTAATAATTAAAGATTTTTTTATTTTATTTGTAAGTTTAATTCATTGATTAATTCAATCTGATTTCAAAAATTTTAAATTCAATGAATTAAATAATTTATTAAAAATGATTGAGAAATATATAGATAAAATACCAAACAAAGCGTTAGCGCAAAAAATAGAGACCAACTTCGGCGACAATTAAGATAATATCGGTGGACCTTCTCAATTCTCAACCGTCTAAAAAGAAATGATTTTAAAATATTTAATTTTGTGGAGCCCACTTGATTTATCTACGGTCCAGTCTCTAAGCCAGTTTTAGCCGGCTTTCGTTTTCGGCGAGGGTCAGCCAACAGGTTTCCAGAAGCAGCTAAGCGAAAACAAATAAAGATATCCCTCAAATAAACGTCAGCCTTTGCCGCTGGTTTCACGGTCAAGTTGCCCGCCTGTCTCGGCTGTTGATCGGTTCTTTCCGAAGCCGCTCCTCGAAAAATCAAACTTCGTCCCTTTCCCAACTTGCCCTTCACTTTTGAATCTTCCTCGTTATATTTGAATATTAAACTTTTTATTTTTTTTTTGGTAAAAAATAACTCACGTTATATAAAAATCGTGAATTAATTAACGGTCAACGTCGAATGTTAATGTAATATGCACACATAAAAGATAAAGTTGATGTGGACATTTAAGTCATCTATACTACTGACGAGACACTATCACATCAATTTTATAAATTATTATTTATATTTTTTATATTATTAATTTGAACAAATCAAAAAGTGATATATTTCATTAAAGTTAAAATGATAAAATGAATGAAGGGGACTATAGGGTGTATTGCTTCTTGTTTTTGCCACCAGGCTAAGCTATTTACTCAAATAACTTATGGAACATATTGTATTTAACATTCATTCTTTCGTCTGAATTTAATTTAAAAAAATAAATCACGTGTTACTATTTATAAACCAGTTTTTTCCTCAACTTTTTGTTAGATGTAAAACTATCCAAATTCGAAAGCAAGAGTTTCTCAATAGAGAAATTTTATGTTTTTAGATGGAGAATGTAATACCCCTAAATTTATACTGCAAAATCACGTTGAGATGGTAATTCCCCATCAATAATTCCAATAAAAATTGATTTTTGATCAAAACCAGTTCCCCAAACGAACGGGGCATTGTTGTTCTTGTGGTCTATCCTCTCTCCGCCCATCGCCGTGGCCGACATTGCCTCCGGATGATTGTTCTTCCAAACCTCATACTACACATCACCACAGGAGACTTAGGGTTCCTACCCTTGGCAAATTCTTCGAGATGATGGAGATTGGATGAAGAATGATTTCTGGTCTACCATTAGATATCTCATCCATGCCTCTAGATCTAATGAAATCCACCAAGTTTATTCCTTTTCGCTTCGTCTCTTTGTTTCTTCAAGTTATGCAATCCGTAAAGTCCATATTTTTACTAAATTTGGAATATTGCTTTTGAGGATTAAATTGTATATTTTTATGCTTAATGAAAATGGGACATGGTTTGGTCCTGAGACAATAATGAGAGAAAAAAAGTCTCGGTTGGAGAAAATACACCAAATATAGTCTTTAAAGTTCAGCTTTTTTACTAAATTGTTGTTTGGTCTCTGAGAAAGGGATGGGAAATGATAAGTTTAGGTTTAAAAATTGAAGGGAAAATGCAGAGAATACAATTCTTAAAGTTCAGTTTTAGTGATGTAAAAATTATTGTGATGCTTTAATTGAACTGAATGAATATGGCATTCTGTTTGGTCAGTGAGAAAGGGATGGAAAATGAGAAGTTATGAGTTAGAAAATGGGTAGGAAAATACAGTGAAAATAGAAGATGGGATGTTTTCTAGTTTTCCA